CTCTTCTCTTGTAGGGAGCCGTACACTCATTGGAATAGTGTTCGGGCCTTCCACAATTGTAGCAATTTCGCTCTCGACTAGAAGATCTTTTGTCATTGTAGGACCTTGACTTGGAGCTTCTCTCTTTGCTTCTACTCTTGTAGAACTTGTTGAAGTTCTTCACCATTAAGCTCAATTCTTCATTGAAGGTTTGTTTCTCACTCGATGATGTGGGGGCTTCACATGAGGCTTTGTAAGCACCACTTGATTTGTTGTGTAGTTCCTCTTTATCCTTGAGTGACATCTCATGAGCAACAATTCTCCCGATGACTTCCGTTGGCTTGAGATCTTTGTAATTGGGCATCATTTGGATCAATGTGCACACGGTATCATATTTTCCATCTAAGGCTCTTAGGATCTTCTTGATGATGAATCTATCGGTCATCTCTTCACTCCCTAAGCAGGCAATCTCATTTGTGATAAGAGCAAGCCTAGAGTACATTTCAGCGACACCTTCACCATCCTTCATTTTGAACTTGTCAAGTTGACTTTGAAGCACATCCAATTTGGATTCCTTGACGGAGTCGGTACCTTCATGCATATCAATCAAAGTATCCCAAATCTCCTTTGCATTCTCAAGACGGCTGATTTTGTTGAATTCTTCGGGGCACAATCCGTTGAAGAGGATATCACAAGCTTGAGCGTTGTATTGCAGCATTTTCAACTCTTCCGCGGTGGCTTCACGGTTAGGTTCTTTCCCATCAAAGAATTCACCTTGCAGGCCAATACACACAATAGCCCAAACGGTGGGGTTATGTCCAAGAATATGCATTTTCATCTTATGCTTCCAACTAGCAAAATTAGTGCCATCAAAGTAAGGACCTCTACGGTGATAATTTCCCTCGCTGGACGCCATACTCTCCTAGGTTGTGAAACCAAGGCTATGATCACCAAAAGCTATGGAAATCAAAGCAAATGGAGACCAAAACTCTGATACCACTTGTAGGATCGAAAGTATGTCTAGAGGGGGGGGGTGATTAGACTACTTGACCAAATAAAAATCTAGCCTTTTCCCAATTTTAGTTCTTGGCAGATTTTAGCTATCTTAGCACAAGTCAAGCAATCTCCACACAATTCAAGCAAGCATGCAAAAGAGTATATGAGCAGCGGAAAGTAAAACATGCAACTTGCAAGAATGTAAAGGGAAGGGTTTGGAGGATTCAAACGCAATTGGAGACACGGATGTTTTTGTCGTGGTTCCGATAGGTGGTGCTATCGTACATCCACGTTGATGGAGACTTCAACCCACGGAGGGTAACGGTTGCGCGAGTCCACGGACCCACGAAGGGTCCACGAAGAAGCAACCTTGTCTATTCCATCATGGCCGTCGCCCACGAAGGACTTGCCTCACTAGCGGTAGATCTTCATGAAGTAGGCGATCTCCTTGCCCTTACAAACTCCTTGGTTCAACTCCACAATCTTGTCGGAGGCTCCCAAGTGACACCGAGCCAATCTAGGAGACACCACTCTCCAAGAAGTAACAAATGGTGTGTTGATGATGAACTCCTTGCTCTTGTGCTTCAAATGATAGTCTCCCCAACACTCAACTCTCTCTCACAGGATTTGGATTTGGTGGAAAGAAGATTTGAGTGGAAAGCAACTTGGGGAAGGCTAGAGATCAAGATTCATATGGTTGGAATGGAATATCTTGACCTCAACACAAGTGTAGGTGGTTCTCTCTCAAAAAATGTGTATTGGAAGTGTAGGTATGTTCTGATGGCTCTCTCCACGAATGAAGAGTGGGTGGAGGGGTATATATAGCCTCCACACAAAATCTAACCGTTACACACAATTTGCCAAACTCGGTGGGACCGAATGGTTAAACTCGGTCGGACCGATTCAGCAAACCTAGTGACCGTTAGGATTTTCGGTGGGACTGAGATGCAACTCGGTAGGACCGATATGGTTAGGGTTAGGGCATAACGTAATCTCGGTGTGACCGATTACACAAACTTGGTAGGACCGATTTTGGTAATAAGCTAACCAGATGGTTGGTCAGGTAAACTCGGTGGGACCGATTCGCTCATCTCGGTGAGACCGAAATGTTACAAAAGGGAAACAGAGAGTTTACATTGCAATCTCGCTGGGACCGATCGCTCATCTCGGTAAGACCGAAATGTTATGAAGGGAAACAGAGAGATTACAATCCCATCTCGGTGAGACCGATTTGCCTAGGGTTTGTGGCAGTGGCTATGACATTTGAAACTCGGTGGCGCCGGATAGAAAGAATCGGTGGGGCCGAGTTTGACTTTTGGTTTAGGTCATATGTGGATGTGGGAAGGTAGTTGAGGGTTTTTGGAGCATATCACTAAGCACTTTGAGCAAGCAAGCCATTAAGCAACACCTCATCCCTCCATGATAGTATTGGTTTTTCCTATAGACTCAATGTGATCTTGGATCACTAAAATATAAAATGTAGAGTCTTGAGCTTCAAGCTTGAGCCAAACGTTTTGTCCTTAGAATTTTGAGGGATCCACTTTCCTCATCCATGCCATGCCATTCATTGAGCTTTTCTTGAAATATTAATCTTGGAATAATGTTAGCTCAATGAGCTATATGTCGTTAGGAATTACCAAAACCACCTAGGGATAGTTGCACTTTCAGACAATAAACACAACATCACTCCCTTGTCGTGTTCTTTGCAAATCCAACACGAAATTCATAGAGATATCCTTCCATTGGGCAATAGGAATAAGTAAAGGCGTGTATAACCCCTTTGTTATGGACCTGCCTTTTGCAAATTTGACATATCGTTGAACAAATATTCTATCATTTCTATTTAGTTGTGGCCAATAATAATGCGCCTCCAAGTAGCAATAGTCTTGTTTCGTTTAACATGACCACTAAGATCATTTGAATGGAGCTAACTAATTAGCTTGTCACTTAGAGACCTTCTTGAGGTGCACAAACAATCACTTTTGAAGAAGCCAAGAGACATGCATGACGACTAAAAGCGTCTGCTACTTGATTGGTTGCTCAAGATTTACGCACAATGAGATAGTTAAACCTCTTTATGTTGCCCATCCTGCTAGCATGCGATCAACATGATTTCTAAAATGCTTCAAGAATTGATGGTCAGTATAAATGATGAGCTCTTTAGGTAGCAAATAGATTTCCAAAGGTTTAAAGCCAGAAAAACTGTATACATTTCTTGCTGGTAGATACTCCACTTCTGCTAGCTTCACTTAACTTCTCATTTAGGAAAACAATGTTTTTTAATATAGAACAACTTCAATGCCTACTCCATTTGGACCACACACCGACTCAATAGTCTTGTTGAAATCGGGTAGCACCAAGACAGGTGCTTGTGATAATTTTGGCTTGATCCCATTGAAATTGGTTTCAACCACTTATGTCCATTGGGACCTTTCTTTCTTCAAACACTTGGGGATTGGTGTCATGATAGTGTTGAAATTCTTCACAAATCTCATACAGAAAGTTGCATGGCCATGAAAACTTCTTTCCCCAGAAATGGTCTTCGGAGTTGACCATTCTCTGATTGTTTCAACCTTAGAATCATCAACATGAATACCCGTGTGTGTTAGTCCTAGAAAAATAAGTTGCATCTGCAGGAAAATACATTTCTTCAAGTTGATGTAGAGATCATTTTTCGTAGAACTCACAACACCTACAAATGTGATCAAAGGGTTCGTCCTCATCTTTGCCGCGGATCAAGATGTCATCAAAATAAACCATAATAAAGTGGGCTAAGAAGGGTCAAAGAACTTGATTCATCAGGTGCATAAATGTACTTGATGCGTTCGAGAGTCCAAATGGCTTGATCATCCATTCAAACAACCCTTCCTTTGTCTTGAGGGTAGTTTTTCGTTCATCTCCAGGTTTGATGCAAATTTGGTGATATTTGCTTCTTAAATCTACCTTGGTGAACACTCTTGCCCCACTAAGTTGATTCAACACATCATCCAGGCGGGGAATAGGCAATCTATACATTATGGTGATCTTGTTGATGGCTCTACTTTGCACACACAAGTGCCAAAATCCATCTTTCTTTGGCGTGAGCATGGCTGGTATAACACATGGGCTAATATTTCCTCAAATGTGCATTTTTGCAACAAAATCCTTCAGTTTTTCTTTCAATACATCATGCTCTTTTGTACTCATTCAGTAGTGAGGAAGATTAGAAAGCGCTTGCTCATGAAGTTAAGTCAATTCTACGCTGAATTTCTTTCATCGGTGGCATCTTGCGGCTCTCGAAGTATGTTCTAAAATTCTTCTAATAAGACATGTGCATTTACTAGAATTTCGACATGTGGGTCTGCTTCTCCTTCCACGATAAGCCAATACACAAATTTACCTCCTCAAGTCTTCCATAAACTCAAAAGAGATGTGGGAAATAGTTAACATACTTTTCCCTGCCCCCTAGAGGGACGATCAGTTTTGTTTGGTTGAATAATGATTTTTCTCTTGCACTTCTCTTGTTCCAAATGGAAGAGTAGATATTTTTCTTGGCCTTGTGTTGCATCCCCATCAAATTGCCAATGTCTTCCAAGAAAAATATGGCCAACATCCATGTCAACTACATCACACAATACATTTGAGCGATAATACTTACTCAAAAAAAATGGCAGGTTGTCAAAATAACCGTGAGAAGGTCCACCGTGACCGTGAAAACTTACTAAATGTCCCCTAAATATAAAAAAAATGCTCAGATGCCCTTATATTCCATAGAAAATCATGAGGAAATAAGAAAAGGTAGAAAGTGCCAAAAAATAGAAGAAAAATACGCGGGGTTGAGAAAAATATAGGCATCATCATCGCACCTCCTCCCTCTTGGGAAAGGATCCTTTATCTCTCTCTTCGAAAGATTATCGGATGCTCGAAAAAATCGAGGAAATGGGGAAACTTGTTAGAGAAAAGTACACCAAGAGCTGCCATACGGACTACTCTAGCTGTGGCCATTTTACAACAATTTTCACGACGGTAAGGATCAGCGACGGAAATTATGCTCCGAGTTTGGCGAAGAGGCCGCCGAAGGAGAAGAAGCTGGTCTTGGCCATGCTGCCAGCAGCCCGCTCCGGCGCCTTGTCACCGGGCACCTTCTTGACGTTGAGCATGACGGTCTGGCCGACCTGTCCCCGGAGGCCCTCGATGGTCTTCATGTCCACCGGCTGCCCCGACGCGTCACGCACGTAGAAGACGTTCACGGCCTGCTCCCCCACCGTCGTCACGTCGGCCCTCGTCACCGTCAGGCCGTGCTCCCGGAGCACCCTCGTCACGTCCGACAGCAGCCCCACCCTGTCCCTGCCGCAGAGCTCAAGCGTGAATCCCTGCAATGTAACCCGCGCCGGCATCAGTCAGAAACAGCACGCCGTCGACCAGAGAACTGAAGCGAGTTCTGTTGCTGTGCCACCCACCTCGGAGACTCTTCTGGAGATCGCCGCTTCGAGGCACTTGGTCACCTTCTCCGCCTCGTCCTTCAGCAGCGTGCGCCCGTCCTTGCGGCGAATGTACAGCTCCTGGACGCCGTAGATGCCCTCGGAGGCGACGGCGGCGTGGAAGACGACGTACTGCATGTCCGTCAGCGTGCAGACGATGTCGAACAGCAGCTTGGGCCGATCCCTGCACCGCACGTTCACCACCGAGTAGTCCTTCTCCTCGCAGTGCTCCACGGTCACCGCCGTGCCGTCGTCGGCCGCGGGACGGCCCTGCGGCGCACCGTCGCCGCCCAAGTCCATGTCGGCGTGCATCAGCTGGTGCAGCCGGCGGTCCACGTGGGTGGAGCCGGCGGAGAAGTTGGTGTGCGCTCCCCGGCCGTCGCCGCCGTCGTCGTCTCCGCCGCCGTGCCCGCGGAGCACGTGCCGCAGCCGCTCCTCGATCCCGGCCAGGCGGCACGCGTCCTCGATCGCCTGCCCCGAGGACACGTCGTTGACGTACACCACGCAGGCCACCCTCGTCCTGTGCGTCCACACCTCGGCCGCCATCACGTTGCACTGGAGCTCCGCCAGGACGGCAAAGATCTCGGAGAGAATGCCGGTTCTGTCGGGCCCCTTGAGCTCGATGGCGGTGTGGTCGCCGATCGAGTGCATCCCGACTGATCTCCCAGGCGAATTGCTGCCCTTCGCCGCTCCCGGTATGTTGCTGCCCGGACCTAAGGCCTGTCAACAAACAACAATAATTCAGCTATTCAGCTCCCACTCAGTTTCAGAGTAATAATCTCAGCTTCTTCATGGAAAACTAATTAACAGATTCCGAAATCAATCGAATGTCTCAAATTATTAAGAGTTAAAACGGATGGTGATTGGAATTTGCAAACCTTCTCTATGTACTGAATGGTCTTCTCATCGGTCACCTTGTGCCCTTGCTTATCCAGCACATGGAACACTGCATCGTTTTGTCGCAATATACAGCTCAATTGCAAGGCCGTGTGACAATTTAAGTTGGAGTAATGATGCTATATGGAATTGAATACTACTATTGCATAGCACAGGGCATCTTACCATCCATGAACCATCCGCCATCCGAGGTGATGTACGCTTTCAGGATGGTGAGGTCAAGATCGCTCAGGACCTGCACCACCTCCAGCAGAATGCCATTCTTGTTCATGCTGTCCACCTGAAACAGAGAAATTAACTGATCATAAGGCAGATAGAGTTGCGTGCACAAATTTGGATTTTGAAATGATCACTCAGAGTGAAATTTTGTCTGTCTGTCTCTTGCCTCGGAACAGGATGAATTCAGATGATCCTTACCTTCACCAGGGTGCAGTCGCGGCATGTGTTGTTGTCGATGCAGACCCTGCAAAGTTAACACCGTGTCAAGAGCAGAAATTAGCAGGATTTCTAGCAAGTGATGACATACAAACCGGATGATGAAAAGCTTAATTAGAGACCGACCGAGGAGGGTTGATCCGCTGATTGAAGTTCTCATACTCGGGATCAAAGTAAGGCCGCATCTTTCCCCGGCAGTGGAGTGGATCCTTCCTTCACCCTGCCGCTGAAAGAATCAATTGTGAGCAAACGTTACCAGTGTGATCCATGTATGTATGGCGGTCTCCAATCATGGGAGCAGGACCTCGATCCAAATTAACAAAGGAGAAGAGCATAAAGCAGACGTAATCACTTTGGGGGAAATGGAATAGACCGACCTTTCAGCCGATTCTTCCGCCAGGGTAGCTTCACAGCTCCTGCTTTCGCTGAATTTTCTTTTATATCTTGGATCGAAAGCGAAGCTGGTATCCTGAAAAGTCATCGGAGGTTTCGAATCAATTTCAGAAACAAGGATACCCACCTCATGAAACGGAAGATACTTGCTTAGAAATCTCCTGAATTCAGAGACGGAGGCGAGGATAAAGAAAGAAATACCTGGAATCGCGGGGCTGGTTCTTTCCTTTTCCAGGGAACAATGGTGTACGAAATCAACAACCATGGACGGGCAATATTTCCTTGAGGCCATCGTAGGGGCGTAGACTAAAGCACACAAGCAAGATACTATTTCGCCTCATGGTGGCCTGGACAATTCAGCAGAACGGCGAGTGGCTGTGGAAAATGGGTACTTTATGTGCTCCTGATGGCTTGATGCAGAATCAGCAACCACAAGCGAGCCATAGCCAAATTATTGCTGGAATCTGACTAGCTAGAGCTGCACCGCTGCTCGCATTAGAATAAGCTGTGAGGAATCAAGAACACGTCAGGTTCACTATAGGGACCACGCCTTTCTTTCCCCACTAGCCAGGCAATTGGACAAAGCCTTCTTCTGTCTGCTGCTGTGGTGGCCACTGGCCGAGGGAATCTTGGTGCCTCCACTCCGACTAGTAGATATGTGCAGGGTGGTGCTCTGCTTCTTTTTCGAGTTTGTCTTTTGAGCTCCGATCATTTGGTTTGTTTGTTGGGACGGATTAAAATGAGCTACTGCGCAAATTCCTGTCTTCCTTGGAGTGGTGATGTGGGTTTCTCATCGTACACAATGACAAACTTTGATGTGAGATTCTTGAAATCGATCTAAGGATTCAACAACGAAGACTGTGGCTGCGGGGTGTTTGTTCTCAAGAGCACGTGCATGAAAACTTCCCGCTTGTCATCCGCAAGGTTAGACGTCTCCTCTGTGGGAGAAACGACATAGGGGCATTGGCGGCTCATTCTGATGACCACAACTAGTTCCGTGGTATAGGGACCTTGATGTAATTTTTTTATTATGTTTTGAGGTGCTTTGTACTTCTGTTAAACTATTATGATATATCTTAGTCCTTTGTAGAAAAAAGGGGTTGACTCAATAGGAAAAACAAATTAAGGCCAATAGGGAGAGAATGTGTGTGTAGCACCCCAGGAATAATACCCTAGCTATTATTTGCCTATTATATTGCTTCTGACCGTGCGTATCTCATAAGTCATGTTGCATTAATCAAATAATTAATTTGAAAGTTTCATTTCGTCATTTTGTTAAATGGTGAATAACTCCTTTCGATGTTCTTGTGAGAGACTCACCCCCAAATTTTGGACACATTATTTTTGTGACATTTGAGGGCTATGCAAATTGTTATCCAATTTTAGCACAACCCTAGCTACCGTCCCCAATGCAGCACCATTTATCCGATAAATGCAGACATTTTCTAACTAAATGTCAAACGACCTCCGAATGTGTTGAAATAATTTACATGGCCCTGTAATATTATAGAAAGGCTACGCTTAAAATTCCATTCGATTTAGAATTTGGTGTCCAACGATCGAATATGAAAACTCTATAAGCGGACGATCAATTGAATAAAATTTCACAAATAAAACTTGTTAAATGGGCCCCACACTTCCATCTCTCATCCTCACAACCCACCTAAATCTCTCTAAACCTAACCCCAAAAGGACATTGCCTATATAGGCACGTCATCCCCAAAACCTTAATTGGAGGGAGACAATAACGCGCCCCCACCCACCAAGATTTCAGTGTGAGCCGCCACCTGGTCTCCGCCTTCCTTTGACTCCCGCCAACCAACTGTCATGACCGGATTTTCTGGACATTGATTTCCAGAAAATGGCCGTCGTGCTCACCAGCCCCAGGATTACTGTTAGCTGATGAGGCACCAACTTGATACAGAAATTCCAAGCAAAAATACAAAATATGTAGTACAAGACCATTCTGGCCTGTGAGTACAACAATTGGGTTTCTAATGGTCGATGGCGGAAGCGGTTTGTGAGTCGTCAATGTCTATGGGACTCCATTTCCCACAGGAACAGCTGACCAGGTCAACTCCTATCTTCGCGAGGCTGCTATCACCGTTGCTTAGTTTCCGGGGCTGTCACCGCAACACTCCTCTCCATGCAGAAATCTGGCCAAGACAATAGCCAGGGACAAGCCAGTGAGTACTTTGAATGTACTCGCAACCATTATGAACACTGGGATAATATAATTGATAATCATGCACTGAAGTATTCTATGATCACATCGTCAGTCACAAATAAAACATCTGTTATGCAAGCATGTTATTTATATGCAACATGAATAAGCAATAATGGAGTGGGAATAAAATGCCGCAGTCGGGCGTCTGTGCGATACCACATAAAGGGCTTATAAAGTAAATAAATAACAAGCAATGCCACAGTCGGGCGTCTCAGCGACACCACACAAAGGGCTTATAAATTAAATAAATAACAAGCAATGCCACAGTCGGGCATCTCAGCGACACCACATAAAGGGCTCATAAAATAAATAATCACAATGAATATCCAGGAGGTAGAACCATCCCAGGGATACTCGATAATACAAATGATGCAACGGGTTAGTCCATCACAAAATAGTAATCACGGTCCTCACAAGTCACCAGTCGGTATCCAAGTTTGGTTTAACAATTTCACCTCCGAAGACCGACACTAAGACCAACACTTGACCCATCCCAGACTGTAATCCTTAACCATGGACACGGCTATTCGAATAGGTTTAATCTCTGCAGAGGGTGTACTCTTTACCCACGAGTAACGGATTCCTTTAGTCCATCGGGACTAATTCCGTCTACGGCCTTTTAGTTGAAAACACGCCTAACTTGCACACACCAGCTTAACTCATCGGTGTCTGGAATCACCCACGACACTTGTTAAGCAAAACTCTAAGTGGGGAGGCTATGACCTCGCGTAGCATGGGATCAAATTTATATCGCGCGCTCTAAGGGGTGGCCTCCCCTCTCGGTCCCAACCGAAAACACCCATGCCCCCTGACCAGGTGGCATGCCTACCGGCTACAACCGACATCTTCCACCATGGCCTCTCTGTACGGTGTGTGCTGGAAAGGGGTTGGCGACTTACTGAACTGTACCCTACCTGCGACAGGGACGAGTGGTAGTACGAGGCAAATATGGGGGTTACTGGAACAAGACTCGATCTACGGCCGACTCTGGAGGCTTATAAGTTCCCTGCATGACATGTATATCAAATATATTTCAACCGACGAAATCACCACCCATTATACCTTACTATGCCATACCGGACATAACCGTCCCGACGGGGACCGGCGACAAGCTCACTCCTGCCCAAGGCAGAGGCTTTCCCGGATTCCTTTCCGGCATGCATGCAAGGCACATGAGGATGATTACCATCACAAGTATATTCATTTCCAACAGCAAGGAAATCACTAATATGCCTTCATGCAAATGATCACATCGCCACATAAAATAATGAGTTCTCCGAAATGAGATGGTGTTATAAACAAGTCAACTAACACACCAAAAATATTATGCCGGGGTTCAGAATGCTTGCCTTCATGGTGTGGAAGGGCAGGGTGCACTCCAAATCTTTTGAAAGCTTTCTTCTCTTCCAAAATCCTATTTTCAAAAATATGCAAATAACACATATTTCAAAAACAGTACAAAAAAGTTGTTTGGAAAATTTTCAAATAAATCTCAAAATAAACTAGACAGAATTAGAGGGATGTAGGAAAAAGAATCAACTCATTTGGAGTTGTATTTAAAAAGTTAAGCTCAGTCAAAGTTTTGGTCAAAATCTGTTATTTAAAATTAAAACAAAAAAAGAAAAACGTTTCGAATATACGTACACGTCGAAGGCGTATTCTGGAAACGCGCCTCCACTTATCCAGCGTGGACCGAGCGTGTGTCACTGACAGTGGGCCCGCCTGGCCCACTGGTCAGGTTTGACTAGTCCACCTTCCCTCCTCTTCCTCTGCCCGAGAGGGGGCGGAACTCCGGCGACGCTCGCCGGCGAACGGCGGCGCCGTTCGAGAAGCAGAGGTCACCCGCGGGCTCAGGGGGCCAAGGCGGTCACTCCGGTGGTCACTTTGGTCTCTGGGGTGGACGGAGCTGCCGGCGGCGAGCTCCGCAGCGGACGGTGGCCGTCGGGCGAAGTGAGTTTGGGGCTACGGTGGTTCCCGATCAAAATCGAGTAGGGGGATGGGTTCACGGGAGGAAGAGAGAGCTCCTGGTGAAGAGAACGGAGAGGGGAAGGCTCTGGTAGCGCCGGAATGGCCGGGGCAGTGGCGGCGGCTGCGGTTGCCGGAGATGGGGAAGGAGACCTCCCCGGGTCGATTGGCTGCCAATGGGGGTCCTAGGGAGATGGCTTGGGACTGCCTGCGTGCGGAGACGAGCTCGGGGCTCCTTAAATAGGCGATCGGGGTCGGTTCCGACGGTGGCCGCGGATAAGGTCGCCGGCGACCACCATTCTGTAGCTAGGGCGTCGTGGCGGCGACGAGCGCTAGTGGACACTCTTGTGGATGAGCTCGTGTTGTTCCAGGGGCCAGGTGGTGAGCGGGAGAGGCTTGGGCGGCGTTGAACTGAGCAGGGGCTGTCGGCGGCCGTGGCGGCTAGCTCCTGGCCTGCCGGGGACGTGGCGAGGGCTCTTGGCGTGTTGTGGTGAGAAGGGAGCGAGTGGCGTGGCTCTGCAGTGGTGGCAAAGCCAGGGGCGCGACGCGTCGGCTCGGACGCGGCACGTGCAAAACGCGTGCTCTGCTCGCGCCCAGAGC